TTTAAGCTATGTAATTAAGAAGTGGAGATGTAGAATTATTGTAAATAAATTTGTTAATCTATGCAATGAATTATCTATCTGTTAAGCTAAGAGGAGTATTGGTTTCTAAAGGGGTAATGATAATTAAGGGGTTAGGGGTAAACTGTTATATGCAGGTTCAGCTTAATTTCCATATTTCTTCATGTATACTTTTAGTGATAATATGGTATATTTGTGAGATTACAGTATTGTTTTGAAGAGTTAACCCTAATTTTATGGGTGTTGTTGAGCTAATAAACCTGATAGGGATTTGTTTTTCAATATGGATTGTGATGAAGTCTTGTATGAACTCGTGAGTTGTTGGTGTGTTCATCTTATTTGTTTGGCATACTTTAGTTATTGCTTTATGTATAATTTCATCAATTTTAATTAGATTGTGCGGGCATGTGAGCATGTAGACTGTATTTTCAGGTGTTTGGGGGCATTTTGCGCAGAAAGGATTGGGGTGTGTTGATAAGTTTCTGTAGTAAAGATGTAAGTGAGTTGGCAATTCGGAAGTTAGTAGTTTTACTTTAAAAGTTTTTAAGGTTGATTTGGTAGGGCAGGTATTTCAACTGAGTGGGTTGTCTTAGTAATTTAGATAGTCGAAGGTTAGTTTCCAGTTAATGTTTGGGAGTTTTTGTATAATTGATTTGATTCAGTTTTGTTTGTTCCATTGGATAGTAGCTTTTGCTTTTTGTATGATTTTAGGTATTTGATAGATCGAGTATGTTGTGAGAATGCTGCTAATACAGGGTGTAAAGTTGAAGTTCAATACTGCTTGTGTTGCAATATTAGTGTATAGTTGGAGATTTAGTATTAGGATCTTGATTTCCTTTTCTGATAGATTTGTGTTGATAGTATGATCTTTAGCCAAGATAATTGCTCTTATTGTCGATATGATGTTGTTAAATAGGATTTTGCGAAAGTGTTGTTAGTGATATGATGGTAGATTAAGTATGGATTGAATTTTTGCTTGTAGCTATCTTTTGTTAGTAGTGATATTTATATTTGTTCGGGAAGGGAGAATGGTGTAAATTATTGCTAGTATTGTGAATATAGCATAGATATAGGATGGGAAAGATTTGTTTGTAGTGTGCCAGGTTTGCTAATTGTGTTAGAATTGGATCTGTGAGAAGAGAGATTTTTGTTTGTTGGTTGAGTTTATTTTTTTGATTTGGTTGTAATATATACTTGTATATGCTTGGGGAAAGTGGAGTTAGTATATAGTATCCAAATTTGGGTTTTGATATCATCAAATAGTTGTAGAAAGTGGTATGTGGTATGGTAATCTGTCATTAGTAAGGAGGAAGGTGTATTGGGTATTTGCAGAAAATGTGGGATTAATGGCTATAGTAGGCAACTGAGTTGTCTGTGGATTTGTTTCTTGCAGTTAACTTGGATATTGTATATTGACTTTATTAAGGCTATAAAGAAACAAAATTTGGTTTTAAGTGAGTAGTTTTTTTCCTGACACCCCAAACAGGGAACAAGTTGTTTTGGGTTGAGTGGATGTTGAGTGTAATGTTTAATTCTTGCTGAGGTGTTTGTCACGCTGATGATTTTGCCGAATTTTTTGAAATGGGTAATAATTCATTTATAGTTGTATAGATTGATTGGTGTAAATGTGAATGGGTTAGGGAAGATTAGTATAGTGGATGGGTTGGCGAGGTCAGTTATCTTGTCAGTGATGTTTTTGAACCAACAGAGAATTTTTCCTTTAGGAATTTTTTGGATATTATGGTGGAATGAGTGCCAGTTGAGAGTGTAGGTATTGGTGTAGTTGAGGAATTGTTCTATGCAAGTGATATTGTATATATTTAATTTGTGTTTGACTGCAGCTGGTTGTTTGGTTGATGTTAGAATTGAGTTGATTGAGATGCTTTTAAGTTGTTTTGGGATTAGTTATGGGTTGGTTGGGCGTGCTAGTTGGATATTTAGATTATGAAGTGTTATTATTAGTTGTGCAGTATTTGGTTTGTATTCGTTTGTTAGAAAGATTGGTTGTTTAGAGAGGATAGATTGGTTTGAATTGGCTGCGTTTTGAAGTTGTTGTAGTCATATCTTGATGCTTGAGTTATCAAAGTCTTGTGAGTGGATACTGCAATCTAACGTTTTAATTTGTTGTTGTTGTTGGATACTGTAAAGTGTATTTGGCTCATATATTGCAGGATGGTGAATTGTCAAATTGGGTATAGATTAGGCAAGCCGTGTTTTTTGTTTTACTATGTTAGTATAGAGTTTTGTAATTTTGAAGCAGGCATGTTTTGACAAATATATACTTTGCATCTGGTATGCTGCCTGTGTTAGAATCATGTTGTTGATAATGTAGATAGCTTGTTTATCTGTAATTCTTGTATATTGGATTTTGTTAATATTGGTTGTGATTTTGTTTATGATCAGAGTTTTAGCTGCTTTTAGTGAAGAGTCTTGGGTGAGCCAAACTCCTAGGTGCCAGAATATATCTTTGGGTTTGATATTAAGGATAGTTTGTTTATGGAAAGTAATGGATGCTTGTGGGTTAGGGTTATTGGATATTAATGTTGATTTGTGTGTGTTGACTTTGATGTTTATATAGAATAAGAAAGAGTCAACTGTTTTGAGTATGTTTTGTAATTCAGTTTTGTTTTTTGCAATCTATATAGTGTCATCTATATATACTACTACTAAAGTGTGTGTTGATATAGTCCTAAAAAGAGTGTTTGTATCTAGCAGGTATCCTTGATAGGTGGTGTTGATTCAGCTGATTAGTGGATTATAGTATATTCTCTAGAGTATTGGGGAGAAAGTTTCTCCTTAGTCAATTCCATCTTGTACTATATAGGGTTTAGTTGTTCTAATATCTGTTATTATGGTGTTTTTTCTGCTATTTAGAAGATGGCTAAGAAGGTTAGTAATTTTTTCCAGGATGTGAATTCTTTGCAAGGTTTTTATAAAAAGAGAGATATGAATAGTGTCATATACCTTGCACATATCCTGTGCAAGGACCCAATATTCTTTGTTAGTAATATGTATATATTCAATGATATGAGTTACAGTTTAGATTGGTTGAAGAGTTAATATAAATAGAAGGGCTATATTGTTGTTTTTTGAGAGGATTTGGTGTTTAGTAAGTATTTGATTTAGATAGAGTATTAGTATTTTTGTGAAAATTTTTCGTGTGTATTCGATTAGTGTACAGTCAAACCTCTCTATAATCACACACTTGGGATACGAAAATGTGTGATTGTAGAGAAGTGTGACAGTTATAGAGGTCAAATTTATTATATTCAATAATTGTTTGTTTTTTAAAAAATATGCTTATAAAGAAAATGTGCTTATATAGGAGGTGACTATAGAGAGGTCTGACTGTAATATAATATTTTATAGGCAAAAATAAATAGCAACTTGTCGCTATGTGACTTTATATAATTAGCCAATCATATTTAAGATTGGTGTTCATATAATAACTTGTCTTTGGGGTATCAAATTCTGATCTGATCTAAATCTAAAATATTTTTTATTTATTTTTTTATTTATTTTTTTTTATTTTGCGATCTTTGGATTTTCTTTAGACCACTTTAGATAAATAAGTATTAAACAATTTTTTTTCTTTTACTAACTTTCTTTTTTTTTTTTTTTTAGACATTATGAAAATACTACATTGACTATTAGTAATCAGCTTGGTTCTGAGGCTAGAAAAGCATTAGCAGTAGCATTATATGAGAATACTGTCTCAACTTCTTTGAGGCTAAGCTGGTCTTTAGATAAGTACCAGCCTTTTTTTTTTTACTAGTTGGTTTTTTTTTCACTGGCACTAATTTTCTCTCTTTTTAGATATTTCTTTGTTCAAAACCAAAACTGATATATAAAATAAAACTGGGCTAGTTTTTCTTTTTTTGGATTCTTTTTTGTTTAAATTTTCTTTAGGCTACTTTTGATAAGTATCAACCAATTTATTTATTTTTTTCTTCATTTTTGATACTATTATTAACTTTTCTTTTTTTTTTTTTAGGTCTTTATATTTGAAATTGGCTTTGTTAAGAATAAAAAAGTATTAGCAGCAGTATTATGTAAAATACTGCTTTAACTTTTTAAATTTTGCTAGAGCTAGGATGCAAAATAGAACTGAGGGCTAGACTGGTTTTTAGATAAGTACCAGTCTATTTTTTTTTTTTTTACTGGTTGATTTTTTTTTCATATTTAATAATTTTCTTTCCCTTTAAATATTTATCTGTTTGAAACCAGGAGCTGAGATGTAAAATAGAACTGAACTAGTTTTCTTTTTTTGAGTACTTTTTCATTTAGATTTTTTAAAGGTTGCTTTTGATAAGTATCAACCAATTTATTTTTTTTTCTTTATTTTTGTTACTGTTATTAACTTTTTTTTTTTTAGGTCTTTATGTTTGAAATTAGCTTTGTTGAGGATAAAAAAGTGTTAGCAATACACTATATAAGAATACTGCTTTAACTTCTTTAAATTTTACTGGGGCTGAAATGCGAAATAGGACTATGGCTGAGCTAGTCTTTAAATAAGTACTGGCCTTTTTTTTTATATTACTATTTGTTTTTTTTTCATTAGTATCAATTTTTTCTTATTTTAGATATTTTTTTGTTCAAAATTAGAGGCTGATATGCAAAATGGAACTAGGCTAGTTTTTTTCTTTTTTTTGGTTACTTTTTTGCTTCTTATTAGAAGAAATAGGTAGAGAAGGCTTCACTTTTATAACTTTGTTGTGTTGTTTCAGATAAGTACTGTACCAGTTTTTTTTTTCTTTTTTGCTATTATAGTTGTTTTTTTTTTCTTATCACTGATACTGATTTCTTTTTTCTTTTAAGTATTTATTCATTTGAACCAGAAGCTAAAAATGAAATAAGGCTAAGACCAGTTTTTAAATAAGTATTTTTTTTATTACTGTTTTATTTTTTGTTACATGTACTAACTTTCTTTTTCTTTAGATATTTTTTGTTTAATATAGGAAAATATATTTTGAGCTTTGCTATTATAACTTGGTTGCCATATAGAAGCTCATATATAGGCAAGATATTTTCTTGCATCTTTGCGTTAGTGCTTCTGCTTTAGAGCTTTCCTGCATTTGTGCTTCAGTGCTTTCTTGTGTCTGTGGTGCTTTTTTGTATTTGTGCTTCAGTACTTTTTTATATGCTTCAGTATTTTTTTGCTTTTTTGCTTTGGTGTGTGAGCTGTTTAGTCATAAAGTTGTTGTGATAATAAAGTCATTGTGATAAGATCATTGGCGAAGTATTTTTTGATTAGTATTTTTTTTTAAATAAAGTGTGATGTAGGCACTAGATATTTAGATCTTATGATATAATACAATAATACTAATTTAATAAAATAAATTAAAATAATGCATTTGATTTTTTTTTTAAAAAAATTAATTTTAGAGGTTTCCCAGTAATAAATTTGCTTTTTTTTTTTGTCATTCATTTTGTTATGCGATATTTTTGTAGTAATTGATAATCAAACTCAGTTTTGTAAATTATATGTTCACCAATTTGCTTTTTACAAATCAGTAGTTACATAACTCACATGATTGATTTTTATTGCTCAATCATAGGTCACCATAGTAACAGGTTGCTATAAAATAATACTCTATTTTATAATTTAATAATTAATTTTTTTTAGAAAATATGTTAAAAGTAGTATTTGAAAAAAAATTTTTTTTTAAAATATATAGTTTTAAACAATTTAGATTATTTAAGATATCTTATTAACAAATTTCAAAAAAAAATATATCCTCATAATCAAGATATTTTAAGACTTATCTATAATATGTGGCAAGAAAATAATGAATTTTCTGATTATCTTTAAGAAATTAGTAAATATTTATTTAATTTATATTTATTGCTATATAAAAATTAAATTTATTAATAAGTTCTATAAATTTATATTTTTAGAAACTTTTAAAAATAGCAGTATTATGGTAATTTGTATGTTTAAAGAACAAGCTTTAAAATAGTTAGAAGTTGATTAGTTTCAAATTGATCTTTTTTTTAAACAGATACATGGTGAAGTTGAAGAGTTTGAAGTTAATTATTATTCTAAACAATATAATAAAAGTATTTAATTAATTTAATTAAAATTTTTTTTTTTTGTTTTTTTTTTTTTTTTTGATATTAAGGTGATCACTTAGGTCCTCGGCACTTGGCTTTATTCAGGTAATTATGATATTACATCAATTTCACGAGATACAACTAGCCACATGTGTACTTTTGTACCTAATTTAAGTAGTCCGCCTAGGTACTACACTAGCCGCCATATCTGCAACCTATTTAAGCTCTCTGATTATTTAACTAATGAGAGTACGACTAGCCATATATGCAACTTTTGGTTGCCTATTTAAGTAGTCTGCCCTAGGTTCCACACTAGCTGCCG